TCCTTTGTGATAACCCTCTGCCTGCAACCTTGCCTTGGAGCCAGCCAATTATGAATTGAAACCTCTAGAGACTGTGAGTTGAAGTAAATCCTTCCTCCTTTAACATTTGATGTCATGTATTTATCTCAACAATGAGTAAACTAAGACAGATTTTGGTACCAGTAATCAGATTGTTACTGTGATTCCATGAACATGTGGTTAAGGAGCCTTTAGAACTGGCTTCTGGAAAGAGTTTGGAAAGGTTTAGAGATGCTGGCTGAAAAAGCAGCCCTGGAATGCCTTTAGCTATACTTGATGAGAGATTCTGGTCAGAGCTCAGAAGACCAGAGGCTAATGGAAATGCTGCCAGTAAAGGCCAGGTTTAAGAACCTTCTGCTGGGAAGGACTGTATTGCATGTTGGACTTTGGACAGTGTGTTTTATACCTTGGCAGAAAGTTTGTCTTCATGCTGCTCTTGTCTAGAGACTTGGCCTGAGATAGAGATTAGACTAATTAATCTTGCAGAAGAAATTTCAAGATAGTCTAATGTTGAGGAGAGGACATGGCTACTCTTGAGGGCTTTTAGCTACATCTGTGCTAAGAATCAGGAGCAAAGAATCCAGCAGAATAATTAAAACTTTGTGAATTTGGCCAGAAAGGAAGCTCCAATAATGCTGTGGACTGCAAAGGTAGAACAGAGGTGACACTGATTATTGACAAGGGACAAAACAGAAAAGACGATTGAGGATATCACAAAAAACAGCAGGACTCCAGCCTTTGCAACCTCAAGATTGCAAAGGAGAAAGAATTTGCTTTGAGCAGAGAGCCCCACAGCACCAAGTTCCAGAATGACTGCAGTTTAGAGAATTTGTTCCTCAGGATTGGGTTCATAGAGTTCACCAATCCAGGAACTTGATCCCTACAGTCAAAAGAAAAAAAGAGCCTAGTTACTGCTCCAACTGGAAGCAGACCTCCTGGCATCATCCACATAGGTTTAGGTGCATGTGGAATGCAAGAGTTGTGGAATTGGGAAGGCTTCCACCCAGATTTCAAAAGAAGACCTGGGAAACCAGACAGTGTGCTTCCAAGAATGCAGTTTGTGAAGCTGTGCATGTGAAGCTGAGGGAGCAGTGGAAACCCTAGAAGATTGGAGAAGCCAGGCACCAGGAGGTTAGAAGAGTCAGGAACATGGATGATCTGAGGAAAGCTACAAGAACATAGCTGACCCAAGAGAAAAGATACAGAGGCTACAACTGTCTGCAGGGATCGACCTACGCCATTGGGAGTTCATATATTGCACAGATGGTCTTGAATGCTGGATATGAAACTATAGGACTGAATGTTTGTCCTGCTGGATTTTGGACTTACTTTAGTCCTATTTTTTTTCTATTCCTCTATTTGACATGGAAATGTTTATCTTTTTCCATTGTATATTGCAAGCATTTAACTTTCTTTTCATTTTTACAGCAGCTTAAAGGTAAAGGTTTGCCTTATATCTCAGAGGAGACTTTGAACTTCAACTTTTCAGCAATGCTAACAATATTAGGATTTTGGTAACTCTTAGAGATGGACTAAGTGCTGCATAAAATAATATGCATGAGTTTTTTAGGGACCAGAAGTGGAATGTTATGGTTTGTATCTAGATGTTCCTCAAAGCCTCATGCTGTCATGGGTGAGGCTTTTCGGAGGTTGGTGGATCTAGAAGTATGATTCTGAGATTAAGGGTGTGGTTGTTAAAGTGGTTCATTGATTAGTTTGGCATAGTTTGAATGTGAATAATGGGAAGACCCACACTGTGTGTGAGTGCTACCTTCCCCAAAGGCATGTATCCTGGATAGAATATAAGAGACAGAAAAAGCATCGCTGTACTTGCTGCTGCTTGCTGTTTCTCTCCTTTGGTGTTTTCTGGCTTATTCCCTGCTTTGTCACAAAGTGTCCTCTGTGATTCCCCTGTTCCATGCCACCCTGCCTTGGAGCCAACCAATTATGGACTTAAACCTCTACAAACTGTGAACTACAATAAACCTTTCCTCCCTAACTTTGAATTTTGAATATTTTGTCTCAGTAACAAGAAAAGTAACTAAGATAAGCAAGAAAGAAAGGAAGATGAAACAGGTATACTAAGTATATGGCAGGTCTGTCATGCATGTGTTCTGATTTGTATCTTTTGAAATGGGCCCAGGGGTCCTTGTTATTTTTATTTATCTCATTAATATACCTCAGGACAAAGCTTTATCTGTGTGTGTGTGTGTGTGTGTGTGTGGAGGGGTATGGTTTCCTGGGGCATTGCCAGGTTCACACGTGTGGTCCTCCATATCCCCAAATACTATGTGTATAACTTGTGCGACTGTTACTTGGTACATGCCTGATATGTAGTAGATGCTCAAATAAGCTCACAAATTATTTTAGTGTGTTAAATTGATTGCTGTCAATAGTTACTAATATTTTTCTTTTAAACTGGGAGTTGGGGTTTTAATCAGGGCTTCACATATACAAAGACCTCAGATTCTAAGCTAAGGCATAACTACCTTCAGTAGAAATTATATAAAATTTCCTTTATCATGTGTTGAACAAATATATAGTGTATTGAAATATACTTCAAAGTGAAATATTTATACTTTTTAAATATTTTTATGTTGAATATTTAAATCTTTGATTCATACTCAGAAATACATGAAATATATGTAAGCAAGCTTAATATATTCAGCCTGTGGTGTCATTTTATGACATTCTCTTAATGTATCTAATGGATTCTATTGAACAGCTCATTAAACTTTCTGAATTGTTATTGGAGTTAAGCAGTTCAGATAATGTGATTGCTTAAATAACCTATCCCCTGGTATTACAGAAAGATGAGTCAGGTAAGTCTTAGTGTTGCTTTTGTAATGTCCACTGCTTAACTGCCATTATATAGACATTTTTTCCTCCATCTGAGATGACAAACTATTACTTTACGTAAAATAGGGTAATTGAGTACTAGGAATATGGCAGGAAAAAAAAGTTCTTTTGTTAACTGTATCTGAAATATTCTAATCAATGTGTCTGTGATTCTGTGATTAACTTTCTATTTACACATTAAATGCTGTAGAATACATTGTATGAAGTCAAAATTGTATTTATAAATATTGTTACTTCCAGAAAAGTTTTTTTTCTGTCTTTCCTATGATAAAATAATTTTCACCATCAGTAAAAATTCAATGGAAAATATGGGAGAAATTCATAGTCCCTTTAGAAAATTACAGGTATGAAAAATTTAAATTTGATACTTGACTGGAAAATAAAATGACAAATTGAGTCTGTTATATAAAGCCCAAAGAATGTATGTTTTTAAAAAATCATTTAAATATAAAAGTTATTATATCCCAGTATATGATGAATATATTAATTTTAATTGAGTGAAATTATGATTTCCCCTTTGTTATTTAATGATTTATGCCCATAAGTGCAGCATATTTAATTTTTTGGCCCAATGATTCATCATGTAAGTATCACATATATAAAAGAATAAAAAAATACATGTATTTGTATAACTAGGTGATCTTATCCTTAGAATTTTATTTTTTATATTGTTTGGTGAAACAGAACATGATTATTTTTATTCTGGACTTCATAGATCATTTCATTAAATCTTGTCACCAATGAGAATTCTTCATGGTTTAGAGATTTAATCAGATAAGTTTTATTTTTTAAAAAATTAAATTTTTATTAAGTTTCTTGATACATTTTAGATATACACAATTATCATATTAATTATAATGAATTTGTGCCTGATGTGGATAACTTGATTCTTTTTTCTCATCTCCCTACTTTCCTTTCAACTCCTCTTCCTCTCTGTATTTACAAAAGCATTGTTTCTGTTTTTTCCATTTTGTATCATCATTTTTTCTTTTTTTGTTCCTTCCTTCTCCCTTCCCCTTCCCTAGCTCTTTTATTTGAACATTTTCTTCCTAATTTACAGTATCTGTTTTATGCTTTGTTCTTTATTTACACTTTCAGTTTCTCACACCATAGAAACAGTGCAGTATTTGCACATGTGTCCAATTTAATCTCACTTAAAAGTATGGTCTCAGGGTACATCCATGTAGCTAGAAATGTCTCAAGTTTATCCTTCGTTATGTTAGAATAGTACTCCATTGCCTACAGACAAAACCCACATCATCTTTATACATTCATTGGTCAATAGACATTTGAGCTGTTTCCAAGATTTAGCTATTACAAACTTCTTCTAAACCCAAATTTAGATCTTTGATCCATTTCAACTTTAAGTTGGTGAAAGCATGGTGAAAGATACAGATCTAGTTTAAGTCTTTGGCATGTGGAAAGCCCGTCTTCCAGCAACATTTATTTGTTAAAGAGGCAATGAAATAGAAATGGCAAATATATGAAAAATGTTTCAAAAAAAAAAATGTTTCAACATCTTTGGCCATTTATGATAAAGCCAAAAAAAAAAAAAAAAAAACCAAACAAAACAAAACAAAAAAAAAAACCAAAAAACACTGAGATTCCATCTCACCCCAGAGAGAATGGCTGTTTCCAAGAAATAAACAGATAACAAATGCTGGTGAGTTATGGAGAAAAAAAGAGCCCTTTTCCTCTGTTGGTTGGAGTGTGGACTAGTACCACCACTGTGGAAATCAGTGTGAAGATTCCTCAAAAAACTAGGATTGGAGAGTCCTTTCAACCTAGCTATTCTTCGTGTCTTCCCAAAAGAAAAGTATCGTACCACAGTAATAAATTTGATTTTTAAAGTTTAATAAAAATATACTTTAAGATATATGACAGTTAAATAATTGAAAGAAAATTAAACATTTCCCAATCAGTTTGTTATCTTTAAATCATCACTTTTTCATATTTACATGAATTTCAACCAAGGACAACGCTAAGCAGTATGTCGGCTTAATTGATAATTTTGAAATAAAGTGAGGTTTTCACAATTTACCTATGAAATAAAACATTTAAATATGAAACTTAATGATTTAAAATGCCATATAAATTATTCATTTAATTTTTCTCTGTTTTAGAAAATGGAAGTGTTGTCCAGGTTGGAGAATTGTTGCCTTGTAAGATTTGTGGAAGAACATTCTTTCCAGTAGCATTAGTGAGTACACTGATTCCGAGCCTTTTCCTTTGGAGTTTTATAGTAGTTGTTTATTGCTTCAGAGCAGCTGCCATGGGAAAAAAATTATGAATAATTTTTGAAGAGGTATTGGGTAGTGTTTTTGTTCAAGAGTCTTAGTTCCACCTGTGTCGTTTTTCTAGAGTGGTTTCCTTCTTTAACAGTTTGACTGGTCTCCCAAACTCCTCTATTTAAGTGTTAAATTTTTCCTAGCATGGTGGAAAATTACAAAAACAGAACAAAAAACCTTTACATCTACATGATAATGCCTTTACAACTACAGAATTATATAATGTCTATGATTTTAAAGTACTTTAGGAAAAAAAATCAGGGATAAAGGAAACAAAATTTCAAAATGCTGGTGACTGTTGAATTAAGATGATGGGAGTTCACTTTACTATTGACTCCTATGTGTATTTGAAATATTTCAAAGAAAATATTTTTCCAATATAAAAGGACATCTAAAATATATTATTTAGATATTTTCAGCTATTTAGTATATATAAATAGAAGCATACTTAAGTGATAATGAAAACCAGGCAGCAAATGGAAATAGAAATTATACTCACATACCTTAAACATTTTAGCATCATATATAAAAATGCCATTATTACTACTTTGATAGTTTTTTTACATTCCAATATTTTTTTTGGTTTGTTATTTTTAAAATATAGATTTGCCGATTAAAGTTTTAGCATCATCAAATATGTACCATCTTAACTATTTCCAGTTTGTTTCTTTAAATGAGAGTGATCCAGAATGTTCTATTGTAGAAATATCTCTTCCCTACATTCAGTGTTATTTTTTTCTTTTTAATTCGAAGAATTTTCAAAATATTTATCTGAATTTCCTTGATAAAAACCTTTTCATTATTTTTTATTCAATAGTATAAGTACAATTTTTATAATTTGGAAATAAATATCACATATACTTGACATACATAATTAAATTTATGAGAACAGACATATATATAGTTTACTAGAAAGTCACTACTTGAACATTTTTTATTACATGCTTAAGAGATTTTATCATAACTATGATAGTTCTTGTTTCACAGCTAAACCTGAAAACAAGTATGTATGACCATTGACTACTAATTACATACTGAAAGCCTAAGAGTCTCCTTAACATCAGATAAACCAATGCTGAGATTTCATTTCTTTACTGATAAAGGTTAATATCCTGAGTCCTTCAGCATTTATCAGAATGCCAAAGAAAACTATATAGTCCACTGTCATCAGTAACCATGCTTTATGTGGTAGAAGAAAAACTTTTTTGTTGATTTAGTTAGAAGTTAGTTAATAACACTTCCACTGTATTGTTATTAAAAATGAATAAATTGAATGAGTTGGCAATAATAAAAAAAAACAACAACAACATGTGAATCATTAGATACCACAAGAAAAATCCCAGGTAAAAAATAATAGAGAGTTTTGAATATAAGAAGGGAAGGGGTAATTTTGAAGAAAGGTCACATGTCTGACAACTTTGCCTTCTTTATATTAACATTGTGGTTACCTACTATTATGTTACCTTTAGTAATCCAGATGACTCCTATTATGTTTCTTTTATAATCCTGAAACCAAAGCATTCTCATTACTGCTTTTATTCGGATCTATTTATTGCAGATTTCTTTCTTAGTCAAGTAGGTTTGCTTATGTATTTGCCTTACTCTTTGCAATATGAAAACTAGAATGGTATTAAATATCAGGAGCAGTTTTGAATGCTACATCTATATAACTTCTGGTTGTGAGAAAGGTAACATGTTTAAGACAAGGTATACCTTATTTGTTTTTATCTTGAAATTTTTTAACCAGACTTCAATTTTTAAACTTACCTCAATTTAAATAGTTTAACAGACTTTCCCTTCTGTAAAAGAGAAAATAGTATGTTGTGTTTCTTTACTGTCATAGAAAAAGCACGGACCCATTTGTCAGAAAACTGCCACAAAAAAACGAAAGACTTTTGATTCAAGCAGACAAAGAGCAGAAGGAACTGATATTCCAACAGTAAAACCTCTTAAACCTAGGGTAACTATATAACCTTTTCAACAATGTGAAGTTTGCTATAATCTATACTGAAAAAAAATAAAATTATCTGTTATGTTAAGAGTAAAGAAATAAAATTCGTGTTACGTGCTCCATTTAAAAATCAGATGAGGTCCTGAGTTCCAATTCTTGGTACTAAAAAAATAACAAAATAAAATGATCAGAAGGTTAAAAGTTCTTATTTTAATTATAATTTTAAACTGCAAAGGAAAGAAAGACCAAAGTCTATCTCAAGCTTCATCAATTTCAGTGAGGTTTTTGTATTATTAAGTTATTGCTTACCTACAGACTAGAAATAATCAAAACAAATATATTTTTAAATCATTGTTAAATTAAGATTTGAGATAATACTATCTTTCTAGTCTACAGTCTCTATATATAGTAAGTTATTACTTATAAATATCTTAACATAACAGATATAAATTGTCTTCATTAATTAATTGCCGGTATATGTAATATATAGTATGCTGTCTGGGGATAAGTTTTGCAGTTGTTCAATTGTCCACATATAGCTGTTGTTACATTATTTTCTTTTAGAACCAAAGCCTGTGGTAATGTCTACTAAATATCTCATAGGGTATTGTTAAATAGTTTGTCGGGTAGTTTTGTGAGATCATTTCAATAAAGTGGGAAAAGCTTAAGTATCTGACTGAATAGTTTTTGAGACAACTTGCTTTCTGTGCTAATTTCCTCTTCCAGTAAGTAGCCCAAGCAGAACATTTTCCTTCTCTAACAGAAATTAATTTTCCTAATGAAATTACTTGATAATAGGAAAATCAGATGTTCATCTTACTCTATGACTATGTATAAATGGTATATACCTTGAATAAGGTATATAAACTAATATTTGAATTTTTCTTAGTAGCCTGCCAGGTATGTGAATGTATTAATTTTGATTGATATACTAGCTAAATCTTCGGAGGCAGTATAACCTTGTGAATTTGAAAATAGGCTGAAGAATTGAACTCCCTGGTTTTAATCCTGGTTATGCAACATAGGTTTTAGTTCTCTTTACTAAAAAATGTTTTGATACTGGGTTTTCTTATTTATTTATAGCCAGAACCACCAAAGAAACCATCTAATTGGAGAAGGAAACATGAAGAATTCATTGCTACCATAAGAGCAGCTAAAGGCCTGGATCAGGCACTAAAAGAGGGTGGCAAACTTCCTCCTCCTCCTCCACCATCGTATGATCCTGGTATATGGAATATTGTTGACACAGTGTTTATGGGGACAGAAAATGATAGAAATTTTTATATAGTCTAACTTGTTATAAAACAGTGTATCATAATGAAACCTAATAAAGCGTGATCTTTAAATGATTTGGTAAGAAATAGTGATGATAATCTAGGCATTTAATTTTTTAAAAATTATGATAGTCATCAAGTGCTAATAATCTAGGAAAAAAAATTCTTTTTTTAGTACTAGGATGAACCCAAGGCTTTTGCACTGAGCTTCATCCCAGTCCATGTTTTAGTTTTTACTTTGAAATAAGAGTTTTGCTAAGTCACTAATTTTACCAAGGTGGGCTCAAATTTATGACCCTCCTTATTCAATTTCCCAAAGTACTAGCATTGTAGGTATATTCTACCAACAAGGCTTCTAGGAAATAATTTAATTATGGACATTGTGAGTTGAAATATAGTCAGTCAGTAGGATTCAGATATATTACCTGATTTTTTGGTACCCCCTTGTATGGGAATAAAATAGTCAAAATATTATTTGTAAAATGCACATTTGTGAAAATTATGATATAGACGAAATTATACATTCAGTTCATTTGTAGTTACATTTTCTTTATTGAACAGCTCAACGTTGCATTGTGCATTGCTGCTGAAGTAAGGCAAGATTCTGGCAAACCGGTGTAAGAGTGACATGTACAGATAGACTTAAAATACAGTACAGTTGACACTTTGCTGCTGTTAGGTTACCATTAGGACAACATTAAGAGGTTGTTATTTTAGTGTAATAAGTTGGCAAGATTAAAATTGAGATACACTAAGGTTCATTTTCTAGCAAAGTGTTTTTTAAACAAAGCTAGATGTGATCCTTTTTAATATTTTATTGTACAAGTTGACAAATTTTCAATGGAAGACACAGTAGATAGTTAGGCTTTGCATGCCATAGTCTGTTGAAACTATTCGGCTTTCATTGTGGTAGTTAACCATAGATAATATGTAACTGAATGAGCATGATTATTTTCCAGTAAACATTAATTATATCAAAACATGTTACTAATGGGCTGGATTTGGCCCACAGGTTGTAGTTTGCCAACCGCTATTTTAGTGTAGTAGTAATTAATTAAAATTCTATGGTGTCCATAATGGTACAGTGTGCTTGGATCTCTTCTGAGTCTTACTTTTCTTTTCCCCACGAGAATGAGTTCTTGCTTTGGTTGCATTAAAATATTGCATCTTTCTCTACATAGCTATATTCTTCCCAAGTAAGTAAGTGAAAGACAAATTTATCATATTTCTTCATGGTAATTTGGGTTTGCTTGACAAAAACAACTTCTTAGTTATTACACATTTTAGATCTGTAAAAAGGGCAGATTTCTGAGCTTCTGATGAGTATAAATTCTAGAGAGCACACTGTATATCCTGAAATAAACCTTTTGAAATAGCTTTTTTTTTGGACACTGCTTAAATTTTTATGTTTATTCCCAGTGTCTCTTTATTTGAAATGTTTTCTAATGTAACAAAATTTTTTTCTTTGTTAATTTTGAGATTTAATTTTAGAAGAAATTTTATTTATCCATAACTGCATTTGGGGAGATATTTTATCTTGGAAATGCTCCCTGTTTCTTAAATTTGAATTAATTATGTGAATGAAGTTTTACTTTTTAAAATCGCCCATCAGTTTTGGCTACTAAAAAAAGAATTGTTGGAAGTCCAATTAAGCTATTTCTTGATGGTTTTCCTAATTGAAATATGAGATTTTAGATAAAGCCATACTGTAAATTGCATTTTAATGTGATATTACTGTTTATCCGCTTTATAAAATTTGCACTTATAATGGGAACACATAATATTATACAGACAAAATTATATTTTTCTTCTACCTATTTTATACTGAGAATTTGTGTTTTATTTTTTCCTGCAATTTTGCCTAAATTCAATTCCTAACACAATTCAACTTAATTTATTGGACTTCTTTCTTGAGCACTTTACTGTTAGATAGACTGGTTGTTAAGCAGAATTTAGAATTTTTGTTTATCACGTGTAATTACAAATCTTTAATTGACATTTATAAAAGTTAGTGATTTTTTTTGTATCCTGTTTCAGGTATTTGTTATTAAATTTTTAAAAATCTTTCAGATTATATTCAGTGCCCGTATTGCCAGAGGAGATTCAATGAAAATGCAGCTGATAGACATATAAATTTCTGTAAAGAACAAGCAGCACGTATTAGTAATAAAGGCAAATTTTCTACTGATACCAAAGGAAAACCAGCAACTAGGACACAGGTAAAGCACTTGTTTTAGTTATTTCTACAGATAAACAAGAACATGATGCTTTCGGGTTCATAGTTTTATGTACTTGCCTTACAGAACATTAAACTATATTTTTTTAACTGGCTAAAATAGAGGTATTAGTTCTAAGGAATTTAGTAAGAAATGTAAATGTCTAATTGAAAAATTGTTATATCTAATTGATATGAAAAGTTAGTAGGGACTTAATAAATATACTAAGTTAACGAATAATAAAAAGTTAAAGATAGGTTGGACCAGATTTAGAGGAAACAAAGAATTATTTGAAGACTGAAAAATATGTAGTAAAATCCATTTGAAAATCATGTGAATATTGTAAATATCTATATTATTTATAAGCAATATATGAATATGTAATCAACATGGGGGAAGGAAAATCTTTATTCAAATCCTGATTGCTGTACTTCATTCATGAATATAGTTGTGAGAAAAAAATGAACTTACATATATGAAAATTCTTACAAAACTATGTTTTATAAATTTTGGAAAGTAATTTTGTGATACTATTATTTTCTTGTAAGCATACAGTTAAGCAGAATCCTTGACAGTGTAAACTGTGCAGCAGATTTCTGTTTTAACAAGGCTTTTTTTTTTACGTTTTTACGTTTTGTAAATCTAGCATCCAGTAAATAAATCAATTCCATGTCTCTTACTATCTGTGAAACTAATGTTGGATTAAAAGACCCCAACACAAGAGGGGCCTTTTTGAGAGAATTTTAGTACTCAATTTTTAAAATATTATTGAAAATAAATCATGTTATCTTTATTATCATTCTTATAGTAAAAATGCCTTTTGTGGAAAGATTTTTCTTTCCCCAATAAATAGTGTAGGCTCTTTATTTGAAATCAGTTGAATATATGTATTTTGATTTATTTCACAACAAACTTTTTTTCATTAATATCTATGTTTGTCCTTTAGTCAACATCCTATTGCCACTGTATAAAAGATTGTACCTTAATAATTCTGAAAATCAGATTATCACAACTCTCCTGTTTTTTTTTTTTCTTTTAAATAATTAGGCTAGGCTAGGTTGCTTACACTTTTATGTGAATTTATAGTTGTTAATTTTTAAACATTAAAATTACGTTCAATAGAGGCAACATTATATATAAGTCAGTTTGTAGAGAATCAATATCTTAACATTGTTATCTGATTCATAAACTTGTTATATTTCCTGCTTATTTAGATATTTTTAAATATGTCTAAATTTTCAGTATACAGCTCAGGCACATTTATTATATTTAATTTTCTTAGGATTTTTTTTTTTTCTATGCACAAAATGAAGTCACCTGTAAATGAGCAGTTTTAGTTTCTGTTCTCTAATCTGGATGTCTTTTTTTGTGTGTGATTTATTGGCGCCAGTCTTTCATTATTATACCAAATACCTGAGATAATTAGCTTAAAAAGAAGAGGAGAGTATTGTTAGCTCACAGTTTTGAAATTTTCTGTCTGTGGTCAGTTGGACCCTTTGCTTTGCTTCTATGGTGGCTGGAATATGTGGTAGATGAGTCCTGTTCACCTCATGGCTGAGTACAAAAAAGAAAGGGGATACACATCTCATAACCCCTTCAAGTGTACACGCCTATGGCCTAACCTTGCACTAGACCCCACATCTTAAAGATTCCATTACCTCCCAGGTCAGGAAGCTGCAGATCTAGTCTTTGATATATGGTCCTTTGGGGTACATTCCAGATCCAAACTGTCACAATTGTACTGTAGCTTTTTCAGTATATTGTTGAATAGAAATATTTAAAGTGAGAATCCTTGTCTTAACCCTGTTCGAGTAGAATGCATTCAGTTTTTCACCACTGAGTTTGACGTTGTGAGTCCTTATTGCTACAGTTTATAGGCTTTGAGAGTTCTCCTTTACTGAGTTCTGGCTTTTTTTAAAGCAAAACAGAAAAAGGATAGAAATAATACAGAATTTCAAAAAAAATAACAGTAAGAAATCAACACTAGTTAATATGTTACATATTGTTATCTTAGAAGTAGTTGTTCAAGTTACAAATTCTAAGCTTTTTTTAAACCACAAAGGGATTTGAATTTTGTTGAATGCTCTTTTATAATCTATTCATAATACAAGTATATGACAATACATTGTACTGACTTTTAGATATTAAATCAATTTTGCTTTCCATGAATAAGTTCTACTTAGTAATGAATTATTCTTTTATATAGTTTTGGACTTGATATGCTAAGATTTTGTTAAGAAACATTCTTTTCTCTTGAGGAACATTGGTCTATAAATTTGATTGGGATTGGTATCAGAATGGTACTATAAATTCAATGCAGTTTCCTCTTTTCTGAGTTTTTATAATATTGTATTTTTTTCTTAGATTTTTGCTAGAATTAAGGTAAGAGCTGTAGCCATACAGTTTTCATTTTTCTGAGGCTTTAGATTATTATATGAATTTATTAGCTGTAACATTTAAATGCTGCATTTTTTTGTATCTGTTTTGCAACTTGCATATTTTAAGTAATTTCATCATTGTAATTGAATCATTGACCTTAAAATATTATCTTTTTTTGGCTGTAGATTTTGTGGTGATAGCCTCTTTTTCATTCCTAATAATAGTATTTTGTTTTTTCTTTTTATCCCCTCTTAAGTAAATTTTAAATTTTAATTTAAATTTTTTAAGTTAACATACTTACTGTGAAATTTCTCCTGTTATCAATCTAGCTACTGTACTTTGTGAATTTTATTACATCTTTCCAAAGAAATACTTTTTTGATTCATTAGTCAAATACTGTTCTAACTGCATCTTACAAAAGTTTATTTCAAGCAAACCATTTACTTACAGAATTTCTCTCAGTGTTTTATTGTTGTTTTTAATTTAATTCTTTTGTAATCGGAGAACATAGTTGGCAAGGTTTTCATCTTACTAAAATTTGTTTTATTGCCTAGCATATGGTCTCTTTTTGGGGGATGCTACATGGCATCTGGGAAGGAAAATGTGTATCCTCCAATTGTTTTCTAAATGCCACTTTTGGGTGGCTACTTCTGACCAGCTTTTCTTCTATATTCCAGCATTATTGAAGTAGTTTTGTAAATGTCAGTTTAAGATGACTGATATGGACCGGTTTTTCTGGATATCTCATCAGTTATTGAAGGAATTGTATTAAAATGATGAGCGGTGATTTTTTTTTTCTGTATCATTTTGCCATTTTTACATCAAGCACTTTGAGTATCTCTTAGTGTTTATATTTGTAATTTATTATATTTGACCCATTTATTGTCCTTTATATCATTATAAAGTATCACTTTCTGTGGCAACATTCCTTTTGTTAAAGTATGTTTAATCTGATGAGAATATAGTCATTTCCACTTAATTGTGTTCACATACTTTATTTCTTTAAATAAAGCCTATAGACTGACCTATATTTGATTCATGTTTTGGTTTTTGTAATTCAGTCTGGCAACCACACATTTTGGCTGAAATGTTTAGATCTTTTAACATACTTATTCTTGGTAGGTTGTGTGTAAGCTTGCTGTGTTGCTGCTCTCAATTTTTGTTACACACACGTATATATGATTCTTCAATTTTTTTTTTCTTAAAAGATCTTTTTCCTGTGGCTGTATAATTTTTTATTTTCTGTTAGTTATCCTAATAACAAAAATGTATCTTTACCTTACCCACATTTCCATTTACCTCCTGCCTTTAGTGATATTGCTATGCATAATAACTAAAAGTAAACTGTCAGTATAGTTGATGTGCATTGTTATATGGTATTATTACTTTTCAATGTCTTCTACTTTTAAACAGAAGAAAATAAATCTATAAACATCTTTATACATATAAATATGTATACATAAACATACTTTGTTTTATATTTACTTACATATTTATTATTTCCAGACCTCTTCGTTCTTTTTTGTCGACCTCTGTTACCATCTGTTTTCATTTCCTGTCTGTCTCTACAGTTGGCTGAACATGCCTACGTTTTGCTTTCATTTCTTTGTTCAGATTCACTGTTAACATGTTTACCATATTTACCTTAACTTTTAAAGTTTTTAATGTAGTTATAACTATTTTTCAAGACCTTATTTGCAAAATCTTATTCCTTATCCATGTGGAGTCCATTCCTGTTGACAATTATTTTTGTCAAATGCAGTAGTTTCCTGTTTCTTTACTAGTATTTTTTGGCTGAAAGTTTGACATTATAAATAATAAATCAAACCTGACTTCTGTTTTGTCCTGAGAGATGATTATCTCATGCAGTTCAACCCAGGGAACATAGTTGCAAATCTGTTGTTCCTAGTCTTTTAATATTTTTAAAAATCCTCTTGTAAATGGTATCAGTAAGAGGATTATATGGCTGCTTCACCTCACTACCAGAGTTTGTAGTGTATCGCTCGCTGTCTTTTTCTTTTCTAAAAGTTTTCTAGTTTTTTGTTTTACTACTTCTTAATCGCTTATAACTTCATACTTTCAGATTTACCTTTTTAAATATGTAGTAAACATAATTGTTGAAATATATGTCTGATAATTATTGTGTCTGGTGGCTTTGATAGATGTATTCCCGCTGCCTTTTGTTTTCCTTCATTCATGGTTTCTTACATACTATGTCCACAAAAAATTATCTATGGTGGTTTTTCATGTGAGGTACCTTCTTCTAGAGAAGTTTGTACGTGTTTGTGCCAAGTGTCTGTCTGAAAAAAAGTTTAAATCATCAGTGTATGTTTGCTTGATTAACCTTATACAGAAAATTCATGCAGTGGCCAGCAAAGGAGTTGACCTGGCAATTTCTTTTTCTCTAACTTTCAATGCTTCTAAAATGATGTTTTAATATATTTTTAATATACCGTTTTCCACTCTCCTGGGCACTTTACTTTTTTATTAAAGGATTGGTTCAGAGAGCTCATTCAGTCATTTTTTCAAAAATAAACTTTTTCTAAATTTCATTAAAAATTCTCTACAAATAGAAATATTTCTTTATGTCTTAACCATTTTTAAGTGTACAAATCAGTGACATTAAATATATCAAAATGCTGTGAAAGTACCACCACACTCCATCTCCATAGCTCTTTTCTTTTTGTGAGATTAAAGTTCTGTATTTGGAGAATGTAAGACTTTGAATTATTTGCCATCTATAATCAGAAATTATATTAATAAAATATTTTATTTTCATTATTTTAGTATAAACCACCTGCACTTAAAAAGTCAAACTCTCCTGGAACAGCATCATCAGGATCTTCACGATTACCACAACCAAGTGGCACTAGCAAAACTGTTATAGGTAATGAGATCCATAAAGTAATTTAGAAAAAATATTTGCCAGTAATACAAATGGTCTATCATGGACTATTAAAATATTGAAAAACAAATGTAGGTTAGGAATTATTTCTGAGTAAAAATGAAATGAGCATCAGAAGCTTCCACTTTAAATGTTTTATTGTGTTTTTGCTTCTGTTTTGCATAAATGTCTACCTTTAATGTTCATGTTAATTTATCATGTACTCAGAATAGTTGTCCTGGTTCTTTTCTTTGACCACAATATTTTCTCTTCCTTTCTATATTGACTTCTTATATCTGAACTTGACAGTTGTTCCTAATTAGGTAAATATTTGATGCTTTGAAGAAGTTATGAACCATTACAATGTGCCTTCACTGTGTGTAAATTATAAAATAGATTTAAAAATAGAAGCATTGTTCCTTAGAAATACTATTTTAAAGTTTTTATTGTATAACTTTGTAACCATGAAGAACATTACTAAAGAATTCTTTCCCTTTTCAGATGCTCTATTTTTTGTATGAATTTTGTTTTTCAGAGTATTCTTAAAGCTGTTGCCTTTTTTATTATAAGGTGTGCCTTCAGGTAAAGTGTCTTCAGTTAGCAGCTCTTTGGGAAACAAACTTCAGACCTTATCTCCGTCTCATAAAGCGGTAGCAGCACCTCAAGCAGGGTAAGTCTACATGGAATAATTTGCTAGTGGTATATATTTAAATGATATTAACATGTAATTTTGTTTGAGGTAACTGGCCTTTTTGTTAGACATAATTTTCTTTCTGAGTTCATTTCTTTATTAACATGTTGCTGGTCAAGACCACACTCACTACTATTAAAAATCTAAATTAATATAGCATTTTAGAAAATAATCTGATGGAATTTATCATGCGCCTTAAAATATGTTTCTAATTGAATAATTTTGTTTCTGGGAATCTAAGAACGTAGTGTGAAATATAGAAGTTTTTGTGATAACTAAAATTTATTGAATTTTGAATACCAAACTAGCACTAGAGGATTTACATGAGTTTTTATTAAAATTACTGGGAATCATAGAAAAATAAAATCAGACAGGTAAAATAATTTGTTCAAAGCCACCTTAGCCACTAAGGAAAGCACGGCACAATTGAGTTTTATTTAACTGGAAACATTTTATTCTTAACATTTTTATGATATTTAAAGTAAATCACCTAACTGTGTAGCTTTGACTGAATAGTAAATTATGAATATCTACAAAAGGCTATTTTACAATCTTTAATAAGATTATTTTGCTGTTAGAAGAGGAAAAAAATGTAAGCCACAAAATTCCATGTATAATATGATGTAGTGTGATTGAAAACTACAAACTTAGGTAAACAAAAGGACCAATAAAATATACTATGATAGTAATACATTTACTTAATACATTTTATGCTTTCTTTTCTTTCTACACTTTGATGTAGATGACTTTAAATGAAATAATTAAACTTTCAGCAATCCATTTATATATGGGAAAAATTGTTGGTAACACTGGAGATTGTAGCATTGAGTCACCTATTTTTTTTAATAAACTCACTTTTCTTTCCATTTTAATAAATCAGAAAATTAAGGAATTGTCATAAGACCATTAACATTAGAGATTATGTTTATGTCTTTAAATAAACTGATACAGGAATAGTGTACATTATTTTCAAGTGTAATTTATCTCTGGTTCATGTTTACTTGGTTTTTCATTTTAGAAATATATACAAAGGTATTTATCAAGTGAGATTAAGTATCTTTTGTTTTCCAATTCAAACCCCATAGAAAATTCTGTTCCTCGAAAGCATTTAATGTAATTAACATTGTAGGAGAAAATCAACAAGTTGTGATGAGTTAAATTTTTTTATTGTGTATATCTGAAAAGAAGAAACCCGCTATTGGTAAAAAGACAAAAATTAACAGTACAGTAGGTAGTTGAAAAATAGGGAACTCTTCATCTTCCACTGGTAAGAAACAGACGTTTAATATTTTTCTTCCATACTGAGTTTATTCATTGTTTAGTGAAGGATAGATGAAGCAATTAACTTTGTAAAAAACTTTTTACCATTCCAAGACAATTGCCTTCTGTGTTAGGTTATAGTGTTTGTAGAGTGATATTCTTGTAGTAAATTATGAATTAAAGGCAGTATTTTTAGTACTTCCATCACACTGGTGATTTTATCTGTTGGTGATTGTAAGTTGTACTTGGTGACAGACTGTTTTTAAGTAGTACATACAAAGCTGACTAGCATAGAAAAAAAGGCCCTGATTTTTTAGTTAGAAAGACTAGGCTTCTGCAATCTGCTGTACCACTGAATCAGTGTTATGACTTTGAGTTTATGTCTCTGTTTTGCTCTTAAAATATTGTGTCATGGTTCATTCTTTGACTATTAATCTAAGAAAATCTAATCAACATTTATATTATACCTAAGGAAAATGTTTCTACTAAGAAACAGATTTTTAGCACAATGTTTTTTATGATTTTTAGATTAGATGTTTGGCAGCTTCACATCATATTAAAATGTCAGTCATATCTGTTCAAATTCTGATTATCCATAAGAACCTTATGTATTAAAGAATTTTCAGTTTTTGGAGCCTGATGGTGCTTGATTCTGGCTAGTATGTTTTCAATATTCACTAGAAATATCTATATTACTATATTAAATCAGAGGACAGATGTCTATGTAATAGCAGGGATCATTCCTTTTTTTAGAATTTCTGAAACTCTATTCCTTTTTTAGAATTTCCTCTGCTAGGTTGGTAAACTTCTATGATGACAGAGATGGCAATATTACAGATGCAGCTATAAAATTTAGCAGAGTGCCTGACATACAGGCATACAGTAAGTGAAAAAATTAATAAGTCCCTCACCTGTACATCTCTTGGCATATCATATCATGGTATTTGATAGGATTATATCCAGAAGATGAGAAGTATAAAATAAAAGAGGCGTTTATTCTGAGAACACGGAGAGAGAGAGAACCGACACTCCCCTAACCGCTGGAGTCAGGCTTTCTCTCTGGCAGGCACGTGGCAAGGGAAATATATAAGCAGCCAAAGCTTAGGGTAGTACCCTAAGGCCATTAGAGATGCACAGGTATTTCATTGGCACACATTTGGCACCAGGGGCAGATTCCTAAGGGTGGGGGGAGATAGAGTCACAGGTAAATCCCTAGGGGTGGAGGTGATAGGAGCTTCCTGGTTCCCGTTGAGGCTTTTCTGGCTACAGAGTCCTGTCTGGGCTAAAACCCTTTCAATCTTAGTGGAAATAGAATTATTTAAAGTTTGTGTAGCAATTATATTTCTTGTTTTCACAGCTAATCCAATGTTGAGTTAAGGTAGAATTAAGATATCTGGCTAACTATAATGTTGAAGAAATTGCATGTCTGCTAATATTAGTAATGGACGTCATTTCAATGGCTGGTGATTATTTAAAGCCTGGTGCATATAATATGGTTCACTTTAATCAGGTATAGTGTTTATCCATAATTACTTGAGTCATGAAACAGGGAAAGATACCTTATCACATCAGAAAATTCTCTTTTGGTAATTAAATTCTAAACAATCTGCAGGTCAACATTCAAAGATTTCTTCAAGGCAAAACATACCCATAATGGAAAATGTTTTCTTAATGTTAAAAATATCTATTTTCCTAAGGAATTTTATATAAGAAAAAAAACTTCTTTTGGTACCAGAAATTGAACTCAGGACCTCGTGCTTTCCAGGCAGGAGCTGTGCCACTGAGCTATATCACTGGCCCATATCCTAGGGAATTTTAGAAGGGTGGTGAAACACAGATCCTTTAAGTAAATATTGCCACATGTGGGTTGTGTCACAGAATTTATGCAGTCGAGACTTAAAACTGTGTTTACTTAATGTCTAGCTAGTATTTTAAATGTATATTTCAATCATTTTTAGTAGCTGATATATCACCTTTCAGAAGTTTACTTTATTCAGTTATGCTGAAAAATGTAAGTTTACTTCAGAGATTGACTGTAATAAGTGAAATTAGAAACACAAAATGCATGTGAGATACGTTTTTAATTACAAATTTTATTTGTTCATACTTCACTGTATTAAATTATGAAATGTGTTTTTGTATGAATGGAAACATACTTTTTGATGAGCTAATTTTTGATGGTGTGGATTGTGTAGACATGGAGCACTATTTACGTTTTTATGAACTTTCCTGTCTTACTGATCTAGAAGTACCTTAAAACACTTATAATTACAAAATGTAATTTCCCTCATTATGATTGAAGCTCTTGTGTTAGGGAACTATATTTCCGTTAGAATTGAGATAGTGAAGAATTGAGATAGTGAATTATCTGTGACAGGTAGATGGATTTCAGATCTAAATACATGACTAGTCCATTTCAAAACTTTCAGTGCCTCAGACTATTGTAATTACAGAGGGCCACAGAAATATATGAAATGCCTAAACTTTTTCACCAGTATGAATTCAGAAATCATCTTTTTTATTATATCTCAATCTACCATGCTTGTTGCAATATTAAAACATACTTTGTAAACCAAAGGGAGTTCCTTGTTTCCTAAATTAATGGATTCCTGGGTGTTAAAAGTAAGTTAAGGTGCTAGGGATTTAGCTCAGCACAAACACTTGTCTGGCAAGTGTGGGATCATGAGTTTGGTCCCCAGCACCCAAAAAAAAGTAAGTCAAAAGTAAATCTATTAGGAAAAGGTTAATATGATTGCCAAAGATACCTTAAAATAGTCATTGAGTTACGAGTATTTTGGAAGCTCACAAAGTATTACATACAGTCTGCATCATTGAGATTTATAAATTTTGGTTTCAATACATAGCCTAATGGTAGCAGATTATAGCAAAAAAAAAAAAAAAAGTGATTTTTAGCCCAAGAATCATTTAGTAAACATTTACACTGTGTGCTTGTGTGTGTGTATGCACATATATACCTTGAATTGAATTTTTTAGCACAACTATTTGGTACAAACAAATCATCTTTGGAACCTCAGCTAGGTTTTCAGAGCCTGTTGAATATGTTCTCCTGGATATGTAATATATGTACTTTTTCCTCAAAATAGTTATCTTTAGATTTGTATTAGATTCTATACCTTGCTTTTCTCTAATTGAACTTTATTGACTCGTGGGATTTCAGTACTTTGGACCATATTAAAATAATGTTTTAAATGTAATTTAAACTTCTAATTGTGTGTGTGTGCATGTGTGTGTATGTGTGTGGTGCTACAGATTGAACTCAGGGCCTTATGCATACTGAGCTGAAATTTTCTAAATTTTAATTTTACTAACTTTTTTTTTTTAGAAAGAAGAACTTTTATGCCTTTGTACATACCACAGTTGCCCTTTTGAAAATAACTGCTATTTGGATAGTAATACAATGATTAAAAGACAGATTGGATTAAAATTCTATATCTTTCACAATTTAAAAAAGATTTTAATCTCTCATTTCTTAGAAATTATGCTTAAGATGCATTTAATTAAAACAATTTTTAATCCCCAGTATAAGTATACTCTGCATTTTTGTGTTGAAATGCATCCTATACATAGGCTACTTAAAAGTATACAAATGAATTCATAATGTGTTCCTCCCACTGAGACATTTATAATCTAGAAAAAATGAACATACTATTTTTAGATGCTAAGTTCCACAAGAACAGGCATCGTGCTTGTCTAATTTCCCAGTGTCCCCAGAAATTAGTATAGTGTTTGACACATAACATCGGAGTTACTAGATGAATGAAAAACTAAGTTAGTGAATGAATGAAAAGAAATGAGTAGGTTTGTTGGAGGGAAGGGGAAGAGAATGAAAAAGGGATTAAAATGTATTATGTACTTCAACCAACTTCCCACAGTAAATATAGTCATTACTGCAAACATGCTAATAAAATTTCTTAAAATTTAAAAAGAATGCTCATTTAAAGTAAAACACTGATGTATTATCATCATTTAAGGTAGTTTTTCTGATTACCTAATTAAATTTTTCTTGTCCTGACTCTGAGTAGTGATGGATATATAATTTAGTGCTTTGGCTTGTGTAAAACCAGTAATTACCCTAAAAACCTGTAGTTTGTCTTGTTATCCTCTAGGTGGAAAGCCTGTATACTTTTGGGTTGAAAAAAGAAAAAAAAAAATTCACATTGTGTAGTTTTTTTTAACATTTTACAAATGAGTTTTATAATTGCCACCCCTGAGGTTTTTTTCTTTCCTATGTAGGTAATGTTTTACTTTTCATAAATAAATTCCTTTGTTTAAAAGTCAGGTATGATTAAGATATAACACTATTCAATTGCTACCTTATATTTGCAACTGTAATGCAAGAAAAGTTACACAGTAAAATAATAGTAAAATGGCTCTATCAATGTAGGAAAGAAGAAAAATTAGATTATTTATGAAAATAACAACTTTTAGTTCATGTCTTCCTTTTTAAACCATTGATGGCTTTCTTGATTGATTCCATTTCCCTGCTGTGTCAGAGTCTAATAACATTGTACAAATTCTCTTAGAATTCTGTTTGACATTTACTCTCACCTTGCAGTCAGATAAATAAGGGATAGGGTGGATTTCTTATGAAACAGAATTATCTTTTTCTTTAAAAAGTCTTTATATTAAGAAACAAAACAGTAGCAATCGCCTTATGGGTACACCTTTATATATTTTAATAGTAAAATGGACAAGTTAGGCCCTCCACTTCGAACTGGAAGACATGTGCAAAAGTTGTATGACAGTGACACAAAATCAGACAGTGCCTTCAAAAGACATGAGTTATTACCCCTTTACAAGTAAGTATTTACAATTCAGTTTGGTTAACATTTTTCATCTATTTTCTTAAGACTTTACATAATACAATACAGTTTTACCTTATACTTAAAAAATAGTTTTAACCTCATAGTTTTAAGATAGAAATTCCTAAATACCATTTCAGAACTTTAAACATTTTTATTAATGTTTATGAGAACCACTTTTTTGATCATACATTTTATTCCATTTAACACTAATTTTTAGAGGGTTTAATAGTGGTCACTTTCCACAGTTGTTTTTAGATCACTTTTTTGTTTGGTTGTAAAAATAATAGTTTTACAAAGAACATAACATGTATAATATTTAAATTAATCATTAGTCAAGCAGGTAATGAATTGGTAAAACTAGGAAAAAACTGTAGAAAAACTTCCAAGCATGTGACTAGTCTTTTTGTTCAGTGGGTATAGATTCAACCTAAAATAAGGAAAGGATATGGCCCTGCTAGACCATGTCCTGTGTTCTGGCATAGTGATTGGTGAGTGAATGTGGCAATGAAAGTCACTTTTGAAACTCCACAGCATGAATCGGCAAGGATTACTAATTTGAGCTTTAATTCCAAGTCTCACTTGCATTTTAAATGATAAAATAAGGGCCTCGTATATTAATTTACTTACTAATGTTGTAAAATGTATAAAGCACAGTTAACATAATTTTAAACCACTGTGTACTTTCTATTATTTATATACAAAATATATAATAATAAAAATAAAGTTTTTAAGATACTAGTAGCAAACATAGGGGTTTTTTTTATTAATTAATGAGTCCTAGAAGGCAGATTTTTGTGTCTTGAACCATTTGTCTATGTAATAGTACTATCTTTAACCTCCTAAGCAAGATGTCAAAGAAAAACTGGCTAGCAATAAGATAAAGTATTAATTCCTCTGTTAAACCATGATTTATTGTTTGTCTGAAGTGCAGTGAGCAAATTCTAGATACAGAATAAAAATAATATTTTTGTATATTCTGACTAGAAAGAAAGCATGTCTGACTGTACAAGATGAGGGTAACATGTTTTAAATATTGATCAGAACAAGGGCAATCTGCTTCTTAAAAATAAAAACAACTGGTAGGCATTTAATATCATAACTGCTGTTGATAGTGTCTTAAAATTTTCCTGTAAAGGTAAATATTTTAAATAGTTTTATTGGCATAGTGACATTGAGTACATATATTCAGGGGTGTGTTGGTATTATGTGCATTTCTTGAGCACATAGTATATGAAAGTGATAGAATTTCTACAAGAGCCTGAAAAAAAACCATTTTATTCCTCTTTGAACGCATTTGTTGTTGAAGGCATTTGTTGTTGATTTATTTAGAAAAATTTCTAATTCCTGGAAAGTTCTATAGTAGAAACAGCTCTAGATCGGATATAGGAAAGCAGAGTAGAATAAACTTCAGAAACAGATATGGAATGAGCATTTGAAGAAGCATCTGATTTGTGCACCAAAGTGATTCTTTGCTTGTTGATGTAACTACTCAAAGTGTTCATTCTGTGAATGTTAGCAACATATGATGAATATGAGATTTATAATACAGCCCTCAGAAATTCAAGTGCAAGTACTAATCTATCACATGCTAGCTTTTCAATTCAAGAACATGAGTTTCTTCAAACTGGACATAGAAGCATGCTCTCATAGTCCCAGCTACTGAGAAGACTAGGTTGGGAGGAACACTTTGAGATCAGAAGTTAAGACTAAACTGAGCAGCATAGCAAGACAGTTACAAAAGCCGAAACAAAAAAACAGAAAAAGAATCTTCAATTTTGAAATATGAATACCATCTGCTGATTTGGGGACAAATAATATATGTGTACTACCTGGCTTTATATTTGGCATGTGGTAGACGTTTTAAAAAAATAATTACCGTCTTTACCATGTAAGTAGAACAGGAAGAATTTCTTCTAATTTAAAAGGGTTTGTGTAATGCAGCATTACTTACATTGTGAAATAAAAAGATTTGACTAACCGTTTAAAGAAAGGGAACTAATGCTTTAGTGAACATCTTAACCCTCCCTCTGCAACATACTAGCTCCATCAGCTTGGGTAAGTTTTTTACTCATTTGCCTCATATATTAAATGGAATTATTAATCCTTACCTATCTCATAAAATAATTAGAATTCAATAAGTCTAGATATACAAAACAGTAAAAATGTATTTGGCATATACTAAGAACTATTAAGAAATAATATAGTAGTAGAAATAATAATAGTACTAATAGTACTATCAGCAGCAACACCAGTGCTAAATGTTAGTGTAACCTTTGTATAAGATGAAGTGGTCATTTTATTAATGAGAGAACTCAGAGTCAAGTGGAAACTATCCTAGAACTATTTAGTAGCAGTGGGAATTTGAATCTAGATTTATATGAATCTCAGTGATATGTCATTCAACTTTCTGTGATTGCTAAAGCTTTAAAATGGGAATTCATTGATGATCCAACCACATCTTCCTGATACCAGATACATATGCATAGCTGTACAGCTGGTGAAATCAAATACTTAAAGGGGAAACTAGTAATTCATTTAATTACTTTTTCAAAGAACTTTCATAAATTGAATATTGAAGAACTTCCCTAAATTGAATATTATCATTTAAAATAGCTTATTTTTTTAATCTTATATCATGTTCTTAGAATAATAAAAAGAGCTTAAATATATTACTTAACAGCTATTCGTAGATATTGGAAGGAATAAGGTTTTTTTGTTTGTTTGTTCGTTTTTTGTCTTTTTCCTTTTTATCGGTACCGGGGATCGAACTCACAACTGCCTGCTTGCAAGGCAGGTGCTTATGCTGCTGAGCTAAATCCCCAGACCCTAAAAATAAGTTTTTTGAGGGAACTGTAAATTTAGAGTTTTAACTTGAAGTCTTTCAGAATGATTACTTTCAATTTCATGTAAAACATACATAAATATCTTAACTAATGTTTATATAAAAGGATGTTAGTTTATGCAAAATACTTTATCCATAGTATAAACTTCTACTTGTTTCCATGCTTAAAGTAATTATTTGAAATTTAATCTTTTGAATTTCTCTATAGCCTCTTAATCATGCAAACAAGTAATTTGAAAAATCAGTGCTTACTATGTTCAATATTTTTCATCATGTCATTTCTTTCTCTCTTCTAGAACTAACATCAAGCCTCGAAATTCCACACCACCCAGTTTGGCAAGAAATTCTGCTGCAAATGTATATACAGCTAAAAGAAAAACACATACTGAGAGCTACATAGCTAGGTATGTTTAGCTATATCCTGATAACTAAAATAAAACAATATATGTAGTTCTTTGAGACTGATACACAAAAGTTAGGTAATGAGCTATGTATGGATCTGATTCTCCCTCATTCTTTGATTTAATATGTTTTTAAGTTACACAAACTAAGTAGTTGTAAATATTGTAAAACATGATCAAAGACAATTAGTTTAGTTATACCAACTTTGTATGGATATTTATACCTCAAGTTTAAATGTAATATGAATATTAATGAAATGATCAATTAGTGGTCATTTGCCAGTACCGTGAATCACTTGCAATTATAATCTTCAGCATATTTTTAGTATTTAAACTTATCCTTTGAGGTGATAGGTCATGACACTTTCTCAGTTATGATATCCACTATTTTAAAATCTATAATTCACCTGAATTATAGATGCTTATTTGTATATATATGCTGCCTTATTCCAGAAAGTTTTAAGAGAAGGCACATAAACCCATGAAGTATAGTGAGATACACTGATTTTTTTTTAATGGAAGAATTGACAGAAGACAGACAATTTAGAGTTAAAAGACACAATGGGAGTAATGTCAGTCTATAAAATATATATCATAAGACTCTGTATACAGTTTAGCCCTAGGCCACAAATTATAGTCTAAACTTTTTCACTGCCATAACACAGAAGAAAATTGGCACAGGTATATTATTTAGAATGTCTAAAAAGCAGAAACAAATAGTTTCTCTGAAAAAGTATAGTCCAAAGGCTGTAGAGGTTTTTCCATGAATTCCCATAAGGGGAATACTAGGTGAGACAGTAGATAGCTTACTAATTAAGTTCCTACTGTAAATGTGGAAATGAATTTTGATATGTTGTTTTTGATAACATTCTATGATGTAGCAAAAAACAATGATGTGTGTGTTATTATATATATATTCTATTTTTGTTGCAGTATATAACATATTCAGATATAAATTATTCTTTTATCCAGGGATAGTTTTCAAGAATCTAAGACATTTTCAATCTTAGTGACCATGGGAATTATTTCTGGAACTTTCAAAGATAGAATTTATTCAGGACTTTTCCAGAGATTTTGATTCTTTTGGTTTAGAGAGTGGCATCTCTGCCTCTACCATGTAAAATGCTTTAAGAATGATGCTAGGTAGTGAGATGAGAACCGTAAAAGAATGCATTAATTGCTATGTTTCCATCTAGACTATAATGTACTGTTTGAGTGTTTGCTGCAGGTTAAATATAAATGAGCATGTATTTTTTTAGAAGTCTAAAGGTTAATTTTACTGTATTGGTTTATATATGTGGAGCCATGTATTTTGAATGAAAGCCGAGTGCAGGATCAATATTTTCTTGTGAAAATACAAAATTTGCATATATACATGTACAGTCATATGCTTCCATAAAGTCTTACCTTATCTCACCAAAGCAATGAGCAAAACGTAAAAGAAGTAGCAATAGGCAAAGGAAAGGTCACATTAGCAAATGTATTTTTTAATTCATTGGTTTCTTAGCATTCATTATGTAATCAGAAACCCAGGGCCTTGCTCATTTGACTTCTATTTGTGTTCTGTGATTAGAACAGATAAAGAAATTGTCAGAGATTCCCTTTCCTATAAGACTGATTCAACACATAATCTTGAAGTCCTTCCACTAAAAGCACCTACACATGCAAGATAAAATATAAAGTTGTTATTATTTTCAGAAAATACCATTCTATATGTGTATCATAAACACCCTCAAAAGACAAATTATTGAGTAATAAGAGTCTTAGTAAATTTTCTGAGATCATTATATTGAAAGTTATTATAGTCAGCCTCAGCAATAAAAAGAACATGCACTTTTTAGAAACTTTCCCCATGAGTACACATATTTAACTTACAGAAGAATCAGTTTAAAATCTAAGCAAGAACCTTCATTTTGAAATTTCAAAGACGATAAAGAAAATGTAAATAGAAATGTGTAGTTTCTTCATAAAATAGAAATTTCAATATTGTAAAATTGTCCTGCTAAGCTATCTGTACTCTCCCCAAATTAATGTATAAATACAGTACAATTCTGAAGCAAAATTCACAAATCTTGACATATTGTTTTCAAAATAATTGAGAAGAACAAAAGCCTAATATAGATAGCATGCACTAAAATGTATAATGTGTGTATAATGTAGAAAGTTGCATTAATATAGTTTTATATTGATTTAAGAGTAGACAAACAAAAAATGACAATAGTGAAGTGATAGAAAAAGAGTCAAGTTCCAAAACAATGACTGTTAGATTTTGGAGGGGAGAATGCAGATTTTAGAAGTAAAACATCCTGGAACAAAAAGGTGTACATACATTGAAAACTTTATAATTCCTTCATATCAGGCGTTAAAGTACAGGACTGGGCATGTAGCTCAATAATAGAATACTTGCCTACCATGTGCAATACTCTGGATTTGATCGTTGGAAAAAAAAGTACCAATTACAAATAAATTAAAGTCTTAAATATGAAAATCAAAATTGTTAATATTTTAGAATAAAATGTAGGTATCTCATTATCATCTCAGTTGGCAAGGGACTTCTTGAGACTAATTTAGAAAGCACTAATTTTACACCAAAAGGTTGATGTATTTGATCAGATAAAAAAGGTTACAAAAATCTCCATTTAAAAGTGAAATAACATAACAGATTGTAAGAGGATGTTTACTGTTTACATAAGGAAGCAAGATACTGTCCAGTATAAATGAGAATTTATACTAATAAAACTTTAAAATGAGCCCATATAGTAGCTCTGGATTTTGGTAGAGTTGAGGGACAGGCAATTCACCATAGATGAAACACAATGGCAAAACATAATGTTCAGTCTTGTAAATAATCAGATAAATGCATATCAATATATAGATTTGCTGTTTCATTCACAATTGACTAACAAAAATTTAAAATTTCTATACACAGTACATACAGTGTTAGAAACTGTGTCAGTAAGAAACCTCAGGTGCTGTCCTAAGAGATTAAATATGCTAACCAAAATGATACTGAGACTCACATGTATTTTATGCTAAAATTTTAACAGCTTTCCTTAATATCTTTCCTAGAGCTTCTAACAATATCTAGTTAAGTTGAACTTTTGATAATTGTGATCAGTATGTACCAATGTTGGTACCAGAATGATGGAAAGAATTAAGTTCATGAACTGAGGTACCGTTTTATGTGTTGATTTCCCCACATGTATATACCTCAGAATTTGAGTGTTTTTTTTTTTCTTTGAAGAAATTCTTATGTGTTCACTAATAATAACGTTGGTTTATTTTACCTTGATGTTCTTCCTTGACTGGTATTATGTCCTCTGATTTATTAGTATTTTCTTCATGGTTTCAACGAAATAAACTGATGGTGTAAATTTACTCTTAAATACAAAAGACTAGCAATTCTACAACTTCTCTGTACTGTAGCTAAAAGCAGGCACAGTAAGATACATTCAAACACATAAATGATGTTATTCACTATTTTCGTCTATGGATCTTTTAGATACGTAGTAACTCTAAATGCTACTAAAATCACCTAGTCTACTGATGGTAATGGTAACCTATTTGTATGAAGTAGGTACCCAAATGGGAAAGCACCGAGAGTCTTCACTAATATCTGTGAAAAGTGTTTTTTTCAATAGTTTTCTTATAATCCAGTAATTTAAGAGTTCTCCATATGGTGATTTTAAAGTAAATAACCTGTTCTTAGCAGAAAATCTATCAGGAAGGAATACAAAAATGTTCTTATAAAAATAGAACAACTGTTTTTCCAATGAATTAATGTTTCATCAGTAGACTCTAAATTTCTTTACAGTCTGGGTTCTGTAATGAAACCATTATGAGCTCTCAGGGATTTTTGTTCTAAAATTTTGTTATGATATACAAGGTGTAATTTTTAAAATATGGTAAATATTTAAACTAAAAATGTAAAAAGATTGTTACAATAAAAGATACATTGCCAATAAACCCTCTCTAAATATTCACCCTCACTTCATACCTGTTTGTTCAGTCATTTTTGCTACTTCCTGAGGCAGTTCTGGAGTCCTTTTCGTATCTTTAATTGTGTTGTTGTGACTGCTTTCATGTCCTGCATCAGTTCAAAACATTTACAGCAGCTTTTGTCAGTGTGGTGCATCCCCATCAACTTTATTCACTGAATCTGGTTCCACATGACTTCTGGCTCTTACTGAAAGTCAGAATGGCAGGAAAGATAAACATTTTGCATCAGTTCAGGACATTGAGGTAGCCAGGCCAGTGCAATTTAAAAATTCACCAGAGGACTTTAGGAACAACTTTAGAAAATGACAAGAATAAGTTAATTGTGTTCCAAGTGAGAAAGGAGTTTTTTTGAGAGGAATATGTGACGTGTGCCTTTTTACTGTAATACAGTTTTTAAAAGATGTAAGTATTCTTTCAATTATACCACATACAGTTTTCTAGCATCTGTTTTATCTTCACTATGTTTTATTAATATAAAGCCTGCCGTATGGTACACATCTAGGAGCTTGAGTTTTTGTTGCATCATATTAACATAATAGAAAAATTACATCAAAGTTAATAGTAAAATAAATATTGGAGATAGTACCCCCAGTTCTTATAGCCAAAGAAGGATACCTAAGGACTTCCATCTTTCCTCAGCTCTTTATCCTAGTATTTTCTTAATAAGAGAGTTTTACAGAACATTATGCATTTTCTTCCTTTTCTTATTATGTTGAAAATGTCCACACCTCAAACAGATGGAAAGATAAGACGAATTTGATCCTGATCAGTGTTCTAATGGAACAAAGATAATGTTAAAGAAAACATTTGGAATTAAGGTGTTTAACAGCAGTGATTCTTCTTCACTAGAACTAGGGGAATATTAAAAATGAAATTGAACAAATTTTTAATTATGAGTCCTGTTCCTCCGGGGTTATGGGTTGATAACTGTTGATGTGATCTTTATTTTTCTGTTTCTTTTTATATGTCTTCAGGCCCGATGGAGACTATGCATCTTCACTTAATGGTGGAAACATTAAAGGCATTGAAGGAAACTCATCTGGACATTTACCAAAATTCTGCCATGAATGTGGGACAAAATATCCTGTAGAATGGGCAAAGTTCTGCTGCGAATGTGGCATTCGAAGAATGATTCTGTGAACAGAATCTTAAAGAGTCAGGTTCAGGGTTTTTTGATTTACTGCTTCTTGGATACTTAGAGGACTCTGTCTAGTTATTTTGTGTTAAAACTGTTCAAAATACTGTTTCCATAATTTTTGGAGCATAATTCTTTGATTGAGTAATGTGTTTGTGTATATATGTATATGTAGTATGTATAATAAATACCCAATAATATGAGCTGTGCCATTCTAGGAAATAACTCATTTACCCAAAGAAAATAATTTAAAGTGGAGTCATTAACTTAGGTATTGTTCTTCTGTTAAAACACACTCAGTTTATCTTTAGAAATACTCTAGTGCTTAGACCTTCAAGCCTTAGGAGAATCGCAAGTTTGAACAAAATCATATTAAATATTGCTATTGTTGGTGTCTAGGATCAGAGACTATCATAGCTGGTGGGACACTTGGAATTTTGTAATCAAAGAGAACATTTTAGTTTTTGTTAGTTGATGTGAAGTCATTTTCCTGTTGAGCTTTTCAATAAGTATGTATTGTTAAAGAAAGGAGAAAAGGGTAGAAAAAGTAAAGATCTTTGTTACCCCTAATTCAGCAGATTATTAATTATATAATTGAAGAAACCTTAGTTACTCTGTGGAAATGTAATTATTCAATTCTTTCCAGAAAAACAAGACTAAAATTACAAATGTAAATTACTAGAACTTATTTTTTAAACTGTGTGTGTTCGTTGAACATATATTCTGTTTCACTTGTATTCCTAATTTTTGCTTTTTTTCTTCTTTCCAATAACTTTTCTGAAGAGTAGTTTTAATTTTTAATTTACTGCATTTTTACAATATTTTAAAATGTAATTATTTAAGGTATACCAGAAAAAAGGTGTTTTGTTTTGTTTTGTACTGGGATCTCAAGCATTCTGATGCTCTGCCAGTGAACTACATTCCCCATTGCTTTTTTATTTTATTTTGAGACAGAGCTCTTGCTAAGTTGCCGAGGCTGGTCTCCAACTTGGAATCCTTTCTCACCCTCCTAAGGAGCTGGGATTACAGGTATGCACTACTTCACCTGGCAACATGCACAAAATTCTCTGTAAAAATGTTACACATTTAACCATTGTATTTCTGCATAGCTAATTTATAAGAAATTAATGCATTTTAGAGCAAACCACCTCACCTTAATAAACAATAATTGTAATTACTATTACTGATGAGCATGCAGTTAAAAGTATTTGAATTTCACTTCTTGAGAGTACATTTAGATGTAAATATGAGTAGGTTAAGAGAATATCTTTTCCTACTTATATTCTTTAGTGCTTAATATTGAAACTCCATTTATATTATAATAAAAACCACTGAATATGTATTAATTGAATGCATAGCTTACTTATGTAATTAAACATAAGCAAAAATGTATAATTTGACTAAAATAGAGCTTTTGATCATTGTCACTTTCAGTTTAATATAAGTACCTTTCTTTCATGGGTTATCCAGCCATGTTCACTAATACTTTAGTAATTATATTTGATCCAATCTAAGTGAACTTTATCTTATTTTAAAGGTATAAGCAAATCTTTTATATAATATTTTGCAGCTTTTTGTTTATAATTACGAGCAACCATAAGGATCAGTGTAAAATTTTTGGCTTACAATTTCATTTATCTGAAATTCAGCTTTTGTTTCTATTTTTAGTTTGGGAAGGTTTTATAAACTAAATGGTAATAGGAATTATCATTTTTACTTACCTTATAGTTTCTTTCCTGAGTCTTTTACTAGCTTTTTTTTTTTCTGTTAACCTGTTACAGTATAAAAAAGTCCATGAACTTAAACTGTAATGAATCCAGAAAGTTAATGTACCTATTATATTTCCATTTCAGTAACTTTATTCTCTAATTGTTATAAACTATATAAAGGACTTAGAATTGAACACTATTTTCTTTCAAATGTATTTCTAAGACCACATACCTTTTTTATCTGCTCAAAAAAAGGATAGATAAGTGAGTTTAAATAAATTGGCACATGTTTGTTTCTCACTGAATTTTTCATTAATAAATAAATATAATGTATTATATGGAAATGAGTCAGTAATCATCCAATTCCAGAGTCAGAGATTATTATAAGCAGTAAGTAGGTGAAATATGACTTTGGAAATATGTTGTGGCAGTGTCTTTAAGTGGATTTTATATTACTTGCATATTTTAGTCTCACATTGATTTGTTGTGCAATAGTGTTTAAGCAATCATCTTATGCATTGTTTATTTTATTTTTATTTATTTGCACAAATATATCCAGTTTGGTAGAATGAAAAATTACTGTAAGCTTAAGTTAAAATGTAAAAAATCACCTATATATTATTCTGCAAGTTAGCTTGAAAAATTATTGTGACTACTGTTTCCTCTTCATTATGTTTTATATATATCTTCATTTTGAACGAATTCAATAAAGATGTGAAGTACAAAAAGGCTAGTTTCTATTTATTGATTTTCTCTATTCTAAACATAGGAAAGAACATCCTGAGAATAATAAAAATTTAAAGTCAAATCAACAGATTTTTAAAATGAGAAAGTATATTTTCTATGTTTTTAAAAGTGCCATCAATTTTTTGTTTTTAAATGATGTTTTGAGGGGTAAGTTTTATAGCTTCAAAGTATTTTAAATGATTTTGTTACATATGCTTAAGGAAAGAAAACATTTACCCATAAAATGCATGAACTGAGAACCGTGATGTTAGGGTTTGTAGGAAGGGTGAGTGTTTGTAGTTAAGTAGTACATTTTTTTATTTGTATTGAATAATTAATGACAGGTCATATTTTACATTTTAGAAAGGAGTTATTTCCAGTGAGAATATTCTATCAGACGTTTAATTGGTACTCACTTTTCCTCTGCTGTAAGTGAACCATTTAACGAGACATGGAATCTTGCAGAAAGAAGGCATAGTAGCACAAAGATATAAACCTGCAGCTCTCTTGGGTTATTTGTACTGGATATATAATGAATTTTTATGTGGTAAGTATATTTTTAGTACTAAAGTGGGTTTATTTTATCCAACTAGGTATGTAGGTGAGTACAGCAGTATATAATTATTAAAGCAAAGGTATAGATAGCCACATTTATTTTTAATTTCATTTAGGAAATTTTCAATATTCTGTACACCCAGTATTTCAAGTACAATTTTGCTTAGCTATTCTGCGAATTGCCCTTTTGGCCACTAGAGGGTGCTTTTGGGTAATTTAACATTGCTCTAGCATGGAGTTAAAGATTTTAGCACTATAGTTATGATCCTTTGGTGGAGAGGCTACTTGCATCCCCAGCCATTTCCTCTTTTAAGATCCCGTCTCAGTTGCCCAAACCAAACTGAAATTTGCCATCCCCCTGCCTCAGCCTCCAGAGTGCGAGGATTATGGATGTGCCCCTGTGCCCAGCCATGATATATACATTATTTTTACAATATGAAATGGTGGATGCTTACAAAGTATTTTTGTTATGATTGTAGTAATTATATTATCTTTAAAATTAGTTGAACTTATTTTTGGCACTAGTGTGGTACTAATTTAGAATTATTTAATATCTGTATCTTAATATTTTTAAATTATTCATTAAGTTGATTTTTGTTTTCAGTTTACATATATATATGTGCATGTAATATTTCACCATAAAAAGCAGCTTTTGTTAAATGATTTACCTATATAAGAAAAATACTAATAATCCCAGTAGGAGTTTTCCCATAGTATATAGTATGGTTCTTGTATACTGAGCGCTTCTGACTATATTATTTTTTTTTAAAAAGCAGTTTTATTTTTATAAATTCTGGAGTTAGAATATTTATTATCTACATAGAGCAGCATCTCATTGCTATCTTATTTTTATTAAATTTATTGATGCAACTTAGATATACATAATGATCACATTCATCATAGGGAATTTATACCTGTATAGCATATACCTTGCTTCCTCTTTATTTCCCATTCCCTTCAACCCTTCTTCCCCTCCTCATTTACAAAGCTGTGTTTCCCTTTTATCCTTCTTTTCTTATTTCTTTCTTTTTCCTTCCTTCCTCTCTATCGATACTTGCCCTTTTAAATAGTTTCTTCCTATTTCACAATCTATTATACATCTTGCTTCTTATTTATACTTTGTTTCTTGCAAGAGACTATGTGATATTTATGTGTTTGTCTTGTTTATTTCACTTAAGAGTATGGTCTCAAAGTCCATTTAGCTATAAATGTCTCAAGTTTATCCTTTTTGTGGCTGAGTAATACTCCATTGTATAAAAAAATCACATCTTTTATTAATCCATTCATTGGTTGATGTATGTTTGAGTTGTTCCCAATATGTGGCCATTACAAAATGCTGCTGCAGACATGAGTATACATATATTGCTGTGGTATGAGGCTTTTAATTCTATTGGGAACAGACTAAGAAGGGGAATAGCTGGTCAAATGAGACCTCTAATTCTAATTTTTGAGGAATCTGTATGCCGATTTCTGCAGTGATAGCCCCAGTGTATATTCCTACTAATTATATATGGAGAAATGTTCATTTTTTCCTACAGCTCCTCCAGCATTTGTCATTAGTTGATTTCTTGGTAATAGCCATTCTTTGGACCATTATATCGAGTCTCAACATTCTTCTAAGTAGCATCTCTAAAATGACCCATGATACTGAACATTTTTTTTTATATATTTTTCAATTGTAATACTTCCTCTGAGAAGTGTGTATTCATCTCAGATTCCCATTTTTGGCATGGGGCTTTTGAATTTGTGGGATCTGATTTTTTTTTTTTTTAATTCTTGATATGTTCTTGATAGAAGTCCCTGAGGTACAATTAAGTAAAATTATTTTCCACTCTGTTGGTTGTCGTTTTGCTCTGTTGGTAATTTCTTTGGCTGTGCAAAAGTTTTTTTAATAAGATCTCAGTTTTTGTCTTTATAGCTTTTCCTGTGTAGTCAGGATTTTATTCATGAAGTTTTGCTATAGCTTTAACAGTTCTACCTATTCCAGCAGATTGAGTGTTTCTGTTATAATATTGAGATCTTTGATCCATTTTGATTTTAGTTCAGTGCATGACAATATGCATAGGTCTAGTTTTAACCTTCAGCATGTGAAAGCTAGTTTTTCCAGAACCATTTATTAAAGAGACTTTCTTCTAGTGCATGCGTTTCATCCATTTGTCAAAGATAAACAGTGGCTCAGTGTGCTAGGAGTTTTTTCTGCATCTCCTAATCTGATTGATTATCAGATGAGATATTGATAATCCATTGATTCTTAGGTCTGTTTTTGTTTGTTTTGCCAGTACCATACTGTTTCTATCACAGTAGCTCTGTAGTATAATTTCAAGTTAGGGATTCTGAAGCCCCCTGCCTTCCCTTTGTTTACTTGAATTATTTTTTTCTTTAGATCTCTTCTAGTTCCAAATGAATTTTAAGAATGTTTTCTCTAGTTCTGTGAGGTATGCTGATGATTGTGATTGTACTACATCTGGAAAACAATTGTGCTATTCTAGGTTTCTTCTTTTCCCAAATGAATTTTAGGAGTGTTTTCCCAAAGATCTGTAAGGTATGTTAATGTTATTTTGATTGGGATAGCATTAGACCTGTATAACAATTTTGGAAGTATGGCCATTTTCACAGTGTTGGTTCTTCCTAACCAAGAGCAAGGAATATGCTTCCATTTTCTAATATCCTCTTCAATCTCCTTTTTTAGACTAGTATTAAATGTTTAGCATATAGGTCTTTTACATTCTTGGTTAGGTTGATTCATGAGCATTTCATTTTTTTAGATGCTATTGTGAAAGGTGATATTTCCATAATTGTAACCTTGGGTTTTTATGTTGTGTACAAGAATGCTATTGATTTTTTAGTGTTGACTTTGTATCCAGCTACGCTGCTGAATTTATTACCTCTAGTAGTCTTTTGAAGTTTTTTGGGTCTTCTATATAGAGTATCGTGTCATCTGCAAGTAGTGATAATTTTAACTTCTTCCTATCCTATATTTATTCCTTTTATTTCTCTCTTGTGTAGTTGCCCTGCCTAATATTTCCAGAACTATATTGAATAGGAATGGTGATAGTGGACATCCTTGTCTTGTTCCTGATTTTAAAGTGAAAGCTTTCAGTTTTTGTCCATTTAATATAATGTTGGCTGTTGGTTTTTCATAGATGGCCTTTATGAAATTGAGGTAGACACCATGTATTCCGAGTTTCTGAAGGATTTTTATCATAAACTTGTGTTGGACTTTATCAAAAGCTTTTTCTGCATCTATTAAGATAACCATGTTTTTTTTTTTCTCTCTATTGATGTGGTGTATTGTGTTTATTGATTTGCAAATGTTAAACCATCCTGCATTCCTGGAGTGAATCTCACTTCGTTATGATGTATAATCTTCTTGATGATTTGTTGTATTCTATTTGCCAGTATTTTATTGAGAATCTTTGCATCAATGTTCTTGAATGAGATGTCTTTCTCTGGTTTTGGTATCAGAGTAATACTTGCCTCCCAAGAATGATTTAGAGAGGATTGCTCCCCTTTCAATTTCATTGAAGAGTTTAAGGAGTATTAGTGTCAAGTCTTCTCTAAATTTCTTGTAGAATTCAGCCATGGATCCATCAGGACCTGGAGTTTTGTTTGTTCATAAGTTTTTAATCACATTTTCAATTTCTACAGCTATTATTGGGTTATTCAAAATCATTATCTTCTTGATTGAGTTTTGGTAGATCGTATGTTTCTAGAAACTATTCATTTCCTCTGTTTTTTCTACCCCATATGAGTAGAGATTTTCAAAGTAGGTATTCATGATCTTTTGAATTTCAATTGGATCTGTAATAATTTCTCTCTTTTCAGCCCTTATTGCATGAATTTGAGTTTTTCTTTCTTGATAAAGTTGGCTAGAGGTTTTATCAATTTTGTTTATTCTCTCAAAAAAACCAGCTCTTTGATTCATTAATTCTTTGGGGTTTTTTTTTTTTTTTTTTTAGTTTCAATTGCATTAATTTCTGCTCTGATCTTTACAATTTCCTCTCTTCTATGACCTTTGAGTTTTAGTTGTTCTTCCTTTTTTAGACACTTGAGATGTTTCATTACGTTATTTGTACTTGTTCCATTTTATTGATACGACATTTTATGGCTATATATTTCTCTCTTAGGACCACTTTCATTGCATCCCACAGGTTACAGTATGTGATATCCACATTTTCATTGAATTGTAGGCATTGCTGTATTTCTTGATTAATTTCACTTGTAATCCACTGGTTGTTAAGAAGGTTGTTATTTAATTTCCATGTATTTATGCAGGTTTTGCAATTTCTTTTGCCATTAGTTTCCAATTTCAGTGCACTATGGTCAGGTAATATGCATGGGATAATTTCAATTCCTTTGAATTTACTTCAGAATGTTTTATGGGTTAGTATATGGTCTATTTTGCAGAATGTCCCATGAACAGCTGAGATGAATGTATATTATGAGT